AGGTCCACCAAGTCTTTCAATGGGAGCTGCATGTGTTCAACACCATTGCAAAGAATATCACAGCCTTAGGCACCCAAGTTAGAACATTTTTTTCGTTCTCTGTCTGTTTCTAGTTTTCCCTACCACTGTAAATTAGTAGTGGTGTGTGTGTGTGTGTGTGTGTGTGTGTATGTGTGTGTGTGAGAGAGAGAGAGAGAGAGAATATTTCCTTCACTCATAGGTTTATTGTGAATTTTCACTAGTTAATGTTTCTATAGCACTTTGAGGTGCTGGATGAAAGATGTCATGTTAACAAAATATATGCATTTATTTATGAATTATTATTAATTTTACCAGAGTATAGACCAAATCTTACTTTGCTTCCAGTGCCAATGCAATGATGCCTGCAGCCATAGGTGCAGAGGCCGAGGTTCCAGTATGACTGTCTGTACAACGCTGCCTCAGGTCGGTGGTGATCTGGAAGAAATTGAATGTGTGAAATTTAGAACACAACTGCAGAAATCAGAACAGGTTTCTATTGCCTACGTGAGTCAAATGCAGGTGAACAGAATTTTCTTCTTTAATAGGGATAAAAAAGGCTTTTGAATACATTGATTTGAAACTTTCCTATTCTACTCACAGGTTGAAGGTATTTGTGAACTTGGAGAAATGTTCACTCTATTCTACAGTACTGAACAGGTATGTTAGTCTCAGTTTGTCATGGCAGGACCACCTAAAGATTTGGAAATTAGAAAAACACACATACCAAAAGTGGGTTAAAATTCCGCCCTCATATTACTTTGCATTTATATAGCACTTTCTATTCAAGAACCACAAAGTGCTTTACAAACATTAATGTAATTAAATCTCTCAATGCTCTTGTGATGCAGGTAAGTATCATTATCCCAGTTTTACAGATGAGAAAACAGGTATGAAGGGGTTAACCAATTTGCCTGAAGTCATATAGGGAATGTATGGCAGAGCTAGGAACAGAATACACATCTGCTGAATCCAACTGCTGTGTTTTAACCACAACACCATGCTTTCTCCTTTAAGCAATAATTCATCTGAAAATAACCCCTAGTTGTTACTTAACACCCCACATTGGAACCCATAGGAGGTATCATCAAACAACTTAAATGTATGGAGTGGCCACCCTGAAAGAAAGCTTTCCTGAACCTCCTCTTCTGGCTTTCAAACAACCTCCCAGCCTCATCATCAAAAGCAAGCTCTCCACAGACCAGGACACACCAACTCAAAGCGGCACCAGATCCTGTCACAACAGATGCAAAACCTGTAGACTTATCTCCAATGCTACAATGATCAACATCCCTTACACACCTTTCACGACACATGCCTATCACAACATGTGATGTACCTCATCTCATCCAGTGCACTACAAGCCCCAATAACAACTATGTGGGTGAAACCAGACAATCACTACTCTCTCCAATGAACACACACAGAAACACAATAAAACACAAAAACACCATATCACCCATGTGTGAACACTTTTCACAAAGCAATCACTCCATATCTGACCTATCAGTCCTCATCCTCAAAAGAAACCTGCACAGCTCTTCAGAAGATGAGCCTGGGCGCTTAAATTCATAGCTTTGCTAGACATAATCATGCTCTTAATAAAAACACTGTTTTTAGGGGTTATTACAACAATCACTAACCCCTCTTTTTGTCCTATGACTACAGGGGTGTTAATGGGCCACTTCACCTCGGATGGTCCCTTAGAATATGTGGTAAACTATCTGTTCAACCTTGTATTTAGCTGTGACGCCTTTCCCAGACTTGGGGAAGGGATCTGTATAGCTCGAAAGCATCTCTCGCTAACCAACAGAAGCTGGTCCAATAAAAGATATTACTTCACCCACCGTGCCTTTGAGAATCCTGGCAGCCTCAAAGAAACTGCCTCAGTCACATTGAAGAAGTTTTTATCTGTCAGATCAACCAACTTCATAAGTTGTTTACAGTCTTATATTGTAATATATTGCTTATAGAAAACTTATTTTAAAATGTGGCCTAAGTAGATAAAGCTCCAAAAGCCACAATGGGCATGTCCAGTGAAATAGACAAAACAGAATTGCATTTAACAAAATAATCTTGCATTTAACATTAGAACACACGTATCTCAGAAAGAAGTGTGATGACAGGAAGATAAATGTATTTCTACAAAGTTTTAAATCACATGTAAAGATGTATTCAAACTAGTTATCACAGTTCAGGGGACTAGCACAGTGCTACAAACATGCTTCTAGATCACTAATTCAAATCTAGCTCGTGTCATTAGAAACAAAGTCTTTATTATCTACAATTTTTCAGGAGGACGTGCAATGAGTGGGTGGTGTCATAGTAGCTCCTTGTGAACAAGGACCTATATCACAAAAAACACTATATAGGTTAAAAATTGGACTGGCTTTCCTAACATTTTAGGTGGCTCTTTAGGTTAAGTCATTAATGGGGCAGCGTGTGGGTAGTGGGGAGAAGCTTGCAGTTTTGCTGCAGGTAGTGTACCTCTTCCCGGGCTATACAAAGCTCTTGGTCTCCCGGGCTCGCCACTCAGCAACTTTCACTAGCCTTATATTTTACATATAAGACCACTAGTGAAGACTAGGAGAAAAGCTGAAAGATGGGGAAAAAATTGACTAAGGCATTTAGAAAATCATGTTTCTAAACTATTTGATCTGCCAAACTCTCAGCTTCCAAACTCTCAAAAGTCTGGAAAGAACCATTTTGGTCTATTTCTGAATTCTTGATAAATCATTTTATTCTGTCCATGACCTGTAAAAATCTTTAAATAAAATTTTCAGACTCTCCCTCATTTAACAATTGTGCATCAATTTGGCCAATGGATATTTAGAGTATCAACGAAGCACTAAGTGTGTGTACTAGTTTATATTGTAAAAGGGGTGCCGAAAACCATCCTGTATTTCCCACACCCTGGTGTAAATGGAATTTGTACTGTAACTAATCTCTAATACAATGACATACTTTCCTTGATATTTTTTGAAAGGGGGTAGGCGAAGGGAAACTTAAAGGGCCAAATTTATAGCAGGAGGGCTCCAGAAGCCCTGTGTCTACTGTGCAAATGCAAATCAGGTAGAGTATTTGCAGGGGAAATCTAAATGGCCAAGGAACACACAACTATGTACATAAATTAAGTTCTGTGGGCTTCTTCGGGCACCTCTTTGTGAAAATTCGGCCCCAAAAGAGTGGAAAAAATAAAGCGGAATGAATAGCACACGCTCACTCTCTCTCACACAGTGGCCAGCAGAACTACTGCACCCTGCGAAAGAGTAGTGCAGTCACTGAACTCTCCCTGCACTCCAAGAAGCACTGGATTTTCTTGCAGCACACTGATACCTTCAGGAGCTCATGCAGGGGAAAGTCTCATCCTCATCTCCCCTGACAATGGTTTTGCCTTGAGAGACACTATTTAGCCCTCTACATCGAAAGCATATTGTCTGATGTTATCTACATATCTATCATCAGGAGAAAGAAGGGAGTGTTTTTGAGGCTACATGTACACTACAAGCTCGGAGTGAGATTCCCAGTTTGTGTAGACATACTCATGCTCATTGATCTAGCAAGCTAAAAATAGTAGTGTAGCTGTGGTGGAATGGACAGTATGGCACTGTGCTAGCCGCCCCGAATACAAACCCACCTGAATCCTATAGGTACATAATTGGGGCTACGAGCATGTGCCGCCCACTGTCACTGCCCATATTAGCAGGGCTACACTGCTATTTTTAGTGTGCTAGCTCAGGTGAAAGCTACCATGAGTACAGCTATGCGAGCTGGGAATCACACCCCTAGCTCATAGAGTAAATGTAGTCTTGGATTTACGTGTGCAGTGCCCATGAATAGCAAGTGCAATAAAGCCATTACACTCTTATGCTGCATTGTTTGTCCCATGTCCTAGCAGACATTGTACAATCCCTTATCTCTCTCTTTCACTCAGCAAATATTGCAGCAGAAGATGTGTAACGAAAGCTCCCTAAGTGGAAATCCTATCTGAGCCATTTCAAAGGGAAGTTACTGATAGCAGCTGAGATGTTTAGATGTAAATTACAGGAGAAATCTAAGGCATGTTTTTCAGCATTAAGGGTGCACTGCCAGAGAAGCCGTGTGTCTATTTTTAGAAACAAAGAGACAGGACCACCAACAAGCAGTCAAGCTTCAAGAAGAAAAATGATGTTCGAGATTCCAGGACCACATGAGGGCAACATCATTAATCATAATACAAGGAGATGAAGCCTGCCAGGGACATGAAGTTGACATTAGTGTATGAAAGCTGTCATTCTATTCAATAGTGTGAGTGGATGTGGGCACCAATTTTGGATCTTTTACCTAAAGTACAATGCACTCACAGGTTTTAGATATCATTGTAACAACTGCTGATCTAAGGAAACAGTGATAAGCCTAAATTCAGGCTATGTAATATTTTATAATGCACTGTGTTACAATCATCCCATCTTTCCTCCAACAACAGAAGAAAACAACTGGATTTGACTGAAAGCAATTACATACTGGCTGGTAAAGATATAGTTTAATCAATATGAAATTAACAACTTAGAACACCATGACAAAGGTCAGTTTAAAGGTATCATTATCAGCCCAGTATATTTTCTCCTTTACCGTATATGAGAGTCAGGTGGTTTTCAGACTAAGTGCAGTTTTATAAAAGAAAGACCCAGATACCTACAGTAACGGTTTGGTACAAGCGACTTACTCTGAAGATTTAAAGAAGTGTCATTTCTGTACAGTTATTATTCTGGTTATGATATCAATCTTCCCTTAGTTATAGCTGTAGGGAAAGTTAGTTATTCAGGTCAAAAATAGGATTTTCCTTTGCAGAGAACATTATCACTTCTCCCATCCTAAGCCTCTTATTTCCAGATATTTCATAATTCATGTCTTGAGCCCTTAGCTGTGGTTGAAACACTTTTTACCTGCTGATGTAATTCCTACGGGTATGTCAGCTTGAACCGACTTGTCTTCTAAAATGAGAAGTGTTTAATGAAAATCTGTAGTTGCCAATACTCCCTCTACCCAGTGTCATGTGATCCCAAACCACTTTCCATTGAAGGTGCCATGTTGTATTATATCTGCTCTACAAGAGCAGTTGAACGGGGCGGGGGGGGGGGGGGAGGGTGTTAATAACTGACAAGAGATGCTATTGATGAGCATTGAATTAATTTTTAAAAGGAGCAATTGTGTATACCATAGATCGTAAATTTAATCAGTGAGTGGGGGATTTTCATGCATAACTCACCAGTATTGTTAACAGAAAATATTTGAGTAAATCCACAGTACACTGATAGTATTGTTATTATTTATTTGTGTAATGCCTTTGCTAAGATAAAGGCCATATTAACATATAGAGCTAGATTGTGCCCTTAAATACAGCCTATTCCAAGAGGTGGTGCAGAAACGCAAGGCTCTAGGGGCAATACGTAGAAGCA